ACACACACACACACACACACACACACACACACACACACACACACACACACACACACACACACACCAGGGCGATGAGTGAGACTGGTATGAATTTTCCTGGAGTAGATGCAAGGAAGAACACAGTAAGCACCATCACGTGGCCGGCGCCTTGCTGCGGCACCAGCAGGTCTTACCCCCCACCGCTCCTGGCCCACCAGTGCAAATGCTACTAAATGGGAAGAGCCAACATCCTGGAGTTCCTACAGAAATAATTTACCTTGCATGTCCCCGGGGCCCAGGGCCACATAACAATGCCACCTATCTTAAAAATACCTTATACCCTCTCCCTCAGGAGCTACTGGCAATCAATAGCTGCTGAGGTAGGACCCCATTTTCTTTAGAAGTGCTGTCACTGTAAGCCGCCCTTGCTCCAGGTCAACACCCCTGCCTCACGCTCATGCAAGCAACATGACTAAACTCAGCAGGTCACAAAACTAAAAAAACAGAACAGCTCAAAGATAAGGATCCTTGAAAAGCTGTCATGGTAGTGATCCCCAGGGATACTTATACCAAAATTTATAGTCTGTGTTTATTTGAATAATGTATCTTGAGTGCTCAACAAGCTATCTGACACAAACTTGACATTCACACATTACACTAGTTAACACCTACCCAAAACTCGCCTTGTGCTAACTGCAATTATCACAATCCTCCCCCAAACCTTTTGATGATAGTGCTTATCTTAAATTTAAAGGTGAAAATACTTGCCTAATATGAAGAAGCCTGCCCGAAGACAGTACTGGTCAGGCTCTATATGTAGCCCATGCAGCTAACAACTAAATTACCACATACAGCTATACTTTTATAGGGATCTGTGTTCTAGGAATTTCATCACTGGAGATTTTGTTGTTTTGTGAAGATGAACATGATAGAGAACATACTTATACAAACTAGATGGTATAAGCTATTCAACTATCTATCTGGCAAAGGCAATTATTTTTTCTAAACTATGAACCTGGACAACATGTCACTGTTCTCAATAATGCAGACAACTGTAAAACAAAGGTAAGTACCTGTGCATCCATA